TCCATCGTAATTTCTCTATTTTAAACTCAATTGGTTGCATACTTAATTCCATCCACTACCTTCATTTCCCTTTGCCATATGATTTAACATAATCACAGGTTACAGGGATTAGGTGTAGATGTATTTGGGGGGCATTATTCTGCTTACTATATCATCACTCTACCTGCCTACTCCATGGCATACTGTATTCATTTAATGATCATTTGTTGAAGGAGTGAGTTGTATTGTATCCAATTAAAACAGTTTTTACAAAGTAAGAAACATTTTCTTCTTTCATGTTTCATATAAAGAGGCTCACTTTCAAACAGCCTAGAGTTTCTTGATCTTGCAGTTACTTGCTAAAGTGATTCAGTAGGTGACCGATGAAGAATTCCAATGGAGAGCCAGGAGAAAATAGCTAGAAAAGTCTTTGTTACCAGCTGTGCTACCTTGGGCAAGTCACTTAATTGTTTGGGCTTTATTAAGGCTCTGAAGAAGTCTGAGAGAATATAAGGAGGTCTCCAACATTAACATGGTATAACCGAGGCATGTTTCTCTGATGCTTTCAGTATAATGGCTATCTGAAATGCAGAATATTAGAAATGCCGAGTCATAGAAAAAAATCTCAGAACCACTGAAGATACTTATGTTCAAAAACTTGGTGGTAATCCTTCTGGCATAGCCTCAGCAGTTGAATATGGACCTATGATCCAGGAGATCGAGGCTCGATCCCCAGTAGGGGGCGTGCAGGAGGCAGCAGATCAATGAAACACCATTGATGTTTCTCTCTCTCCCTCTCCCATCCTCTCTGTGAAATCAATAAAGACGTATTTTAAAAACAAAACAAAACAAAACAAAACTTGGTGATGAATGGAGCATAGTATAAAATAAGTGAGAAGCATCAAATAAAGCACTATTATAGGTGGCTGTGATGAAAATAAAACTTAATTAAAAAAAAAGAGCAATATCTAGAATAAGACTAGTTATACCAGAAGAAGGGAATATGGCAATTTTAGTTCCATTGATTTATAGTGACTTTTAAAAAGGATGATTATGCACAGTTAATGAATGATGGATTTTTTGTTTGTACACACATTTCAAGGGCTTCTGTTCATTGTAGAAGAGAGTTAAAGAATGCATTCCAGATTTTGTTTTTCAAAGCAACTTTGATCATTTAAAAAATGTATTACTATTACACTGATGGGTCGTAGAAATCTTGTTTGATTTCAGGTCTCTATAAAGATTGGGCATGGAAAGAGCATGTATGTGTGTCATATGAAACGTGGCTGAAGTTCAGAGAAATAGGTTTCATTTAACAGCTGAATACTGGATGACCTCACCATTCTTCTCACCCTCTGGCAGCTCACCCCTGAGCAATAGAGGAGCCGCCTGCGTGAACTGAGGAGTAGCTGCTGGCCTCAATGTGATTTCGCAGTGATCTGTGTGCTCTATGGCTTCCTTCATAACCAACAAATCAATTCCCTCTCTTCGTATTACACACCCCAGTGGCAGAGGCCATTTATTACCCGTTTGATGGTCAGACTCTTTGTATATAACCAAGAAATATTACAGAGGGAGGAAGGAACAGTTGAAATGTGGGTGAAGGGAGCGCACAATGGCACTGCATTTTATAATATGCCTTGCATGTATCCAACAATAAAAAAGATGCTTTCTTTCAAGACAGTTTTGAAACTCGGCTGCAGAATTTTCTTCCGAATGAAATGTACGTTAGGAACAATATATGGAGAGGTCGTGGTGGACAACATTCTATCAGTTCACATTTAAATTTCAGGTGCAAATTCAAAATGATTAAGAGAAAAAGACTGTCACTGTCATATTTTTTTTTTATATGGGATTTGTTTATAAGGCTATACAGGACTAACTTTGGTCAATTAATGAGCTTTCAATATATCCTTCATTTGGTATCATCTAGTATCAACTGATTCTTTTATTAATTTCTAACTTTGCAGTATATTTTCTTTAAAAACTTGAAGTGATTATTTCTAGGTTTTTCCTAATTCTTTGCATCCCGATGCAATAGTTACCATTGTTAAACAAACAGACACAAATAAATTTCAAACTGTGTTGATTAGGTACAAGATAACTGAATATTTTGGATTATTATAAATTATAAATTATGGTAAATGATAAATGGTACACAGTGAAGTTTTAGTGTTATGTGTCCTAAATCAAATGTCCCGTAAGAAATATGCGTGTCTGAATGTGGGTGGGAAACCTTTTACCAGTGAGACTAATGGTAAAAGCATGACTTTGGAGTGGGCTCCATGCATAAACATTTAAATTGCTAGTCATTGATGTCAATGGATATGAAAAGAACAGGAAATTTCCAAAGGTCAAAGAAGCTACTGTCTTTTCTGTTTTGCATCATTTGAGAGTTTCCAGTTTTTTGCAAACAATGCTGAATCTGTATTCGATTTTCTCTTCTCTTTGAAGAGGCAAAACAGTGACAGAATAATTAACTGAAGAGGAGATCATGCACAGAATATTTTGCTTTAGCAGTATAGAAAGTTCTGGGTTTCATTTCACATGATGGGAAACTTGGTTAGGTACTCTGGAATCCCTCCATGAGAGAGCCAGGCCTCGGCTGTATTGCCATCGGTAAACCAAAGCCCCTTGGGGGCCCGTTTCCTGTGTGACTGTTCTTCATTTGTGTAATCGAAAAGCACGCTCAGGACAAAGGCTGCACGGAGTTAGATGACGCTCTACACCTTCACGGCACAGTACACGCAAAAAGAGCCAAGAGGAACTGTCCACGTCAAGTTTGGTGCCCCCTGAGTCCTGTGCAGACCAAAAGGTTAAGGTCCTAAATTGAAATTCTGAGCTGAATAGTGGGTTATTTTTTAACTTTCTGTGGTTATTAGTTTTTTTGTTTTTTCCCCCCTCAAAGATTCTTATTTCTATAAGTAATCTTCTCTTTCTCATAGTGCAATTTTCATCATATTTGATAGCCTTCAGAGATATATGAGATTTTATATGTAAAATCTGTCTCTACAAATCTGTCTTTAAATTCCCTTTATGTTATGTTCTCACACTGGGTCCACCTGCTATGTTTAATCACTAAGTCACTGAAATACTTGCTAAGGCACTAGCTTCTTCATTGAAAATATGTTTATCATCAGGACTATGTTTGGTTGAGAAATTTACCAAATTATTCTAGAATATCTTTCAAGAACAGATTTAGAAGAGCTAATCTAGAAACTTGGAGTCTAGTTTTTGTAAAGGTTGATTATTACTTCAATAAAACCAGCATTTCCTTAAATTGATAATTGTATATGCCGCCAAGATTTACTGTTTTAATTACATAACAAATATATGTTATTCATGTTTATATTTCTTTAAAAGTAAAAGGAACCGCATCATCTCTTAGACAGATCTCCTATGTTTCTTGAGCTTGATGGAAGGCCAGTCTGTTTCAAAGTAGCCTTGGTAAATATTAGAAGAGAAAGGGGCGAAAGCAGCAGATTTTATATTTATTATATTGTGATATTAGCACAGGATGGGCACTGTTCAAAGGGTTTTTCATCTGTGAACTTAGTCATTCTATGGAGCCTGGGATATGGCTGCTATTATCATGTTCCTTTTTCATATGAGGGAGCCAAGGCACAGAGAGGAATTACACCCACGCAGTCAGATTCCGGAGCTTGTCCTGCGAGCCCCTAACCCACGTAACCCTGCTGCATGGTCCCTGGACGAGCCGCTGGGGCTCAGTGAAGAATGATCCCGGACTCTACAGTGATGTTCGCATAGGCTTCTTATTCTCTCTCCTGCAAAACCACAACTAATCTTAGAAACTTTTTAACATCTCTTGCTCTCAATACCAAAGCTAGAGGCGACCAGAGCTGAAATCAGAATACCTTGTATATTTAGTTTCAATAGAAAATGGCAGTATCATGTTAAGAAAGAAGAGATTTTACAAGTTTTAAATTTATATAGCTTTTTGCTATATTTAAAATTCATTTCAATGTTTAAAAGAGTGGTTACCTTTTACCGAGTTATACGCAAATAAATAAATCTAATCTTAAAGAGGGATCATTGAGGATAGGTGAGATAAGCAGGAATATATTATAGATTCAAAAAATAATTTCATTGTTTATTTAATTCAGTTTTATATATCTTAAACTTTGAATTGCTGAAAAATACACAAAATGTATCATCATAATCATTTTGAAGTGTATAGCTCAGTAGTGTTAACCAATCTCCACAATTTTTTTATCTTGTAAATCTGAAACTCCATGCCATTAAAAAAAACCCTTTATTTTGTCTCTTCCCATCCTCTGGTTACCACCATACTTCTTTCTGCGCCAGTGACTGTGACTCCTCTGCGTACCGTATGCAAGTGGAATCGTACAGTACCTGTCTTTTTGTGACTGGCTTATTTTACTTAGAATAATGCCCTCAAGCTTCACCGTGTTGTAGCCTGTGTCAGAATTTTCTCCCTTTTTAGCTGAATAATGTTCCATTTGATGGACATGGGTTGCTTCCACCTTTTGTCCATTGTGAATAATGCCCATGAACATGGGCGCACAAATATCTGTTCAAGATTCTGCTTTGGATTATTTTGGATATATACTCAGAAGGGGCATTGCTGGAGCATATGGTAATATTTAAAAGCTCTTTTTTGAGGACGCGCCCTATTGTTTTCCATAGCGATTGCACCATTTTACGTTCCCACCCAGAGTACACAAGAGTTCCTATTTTTTCACATCCCCATCAACACTTGCTATTTTCTGCTATTTTAAAAATTGTATAATAGCCATCCTACCTGGTGTTAGCAGATGCCTCATTGTGGCTTTGATTTGTATTTCTATTTCAGTGGTTCTCCATGTCCCCCTTTAGTCATTCCTTATAGCAAAAGGAAGCATTAAACAATTTGAGTCTTAAGTCCTTAAGAAAGAATTTCATTCTATTTTGCTTTCACTGTGTCTTTATTATTATTCTCAGAATATTTTACTTCGGTCGCGCTTTGCAGCCTAATTCATCTGTTATTACTCTGTTCGTAGCTGCCCCTCAGGGGCTGGTGGCGCTGGATCTGGAGAGTTCTTGAAGCACCTCGGCTTTGCACTGGCGTCGGTGTCCGCAGAACTCCAGCTGGCTCAGTGGCGGGGCCAGGGCTTCTGGTACATTGTCCTGCTGACGGCCTCTCTCTGGTTCCTGGGGCTCTACCTGCATTACCTCGGCCAGTGGCTCTTCCTCCAGGCCATCTCCGCTCCTGTTACAAAGTGAGTGCTTTCCCCTGGAAGGGAAAGGGATGCATTTTCATCTCCACAGGCCAAATGAAAGCACAGAACTCCCTCCCCTCCATTTACCTTGAGACCTAAAATGCAGGTATGATTCGAAAAGATACAACTGTTTTTATCTAAGAGCAGAAATGTCTATTTCAGTTATATTTACATCTGATGGGCCTGTATATACAAATATGTAACTGGTACATCAATATATATTTAAACTTCAGCAGATTCAAATATGTTCTAATATCTGAGCAAAATCCAAAAAGGAGTTTAGCAACGATATTTTATTCTATTTTTATTTTATCAGAGTGACTTAGGCTAAAGGTATTTTAGAAGTAATGTAAGTATGATTTATCATCTCTACTTGGAGAAGCCAAGATTGCTTCTTCTGCAAAATGATTGAATTCAAACAATTACAAACTCAAGCCCAGGCAGCTTTCTGAGCCATATCCTCTGGGAAAAGATGACACTTTAAAGGTTATCTCCCCATAAACATGATTCCATAGACACTATAGGCAGACAAACAGATATCAATTCTAGTAAAATTCATTTTCTTGAATGTAGATGGTACAGATAAAAATAAAGATGTGTGCGTAGTTTCAATTAAGACTACAAACAACTCTGGGCAACTCTGGGATGCTATGAAAAGAGTACACATCCATCCACACACGTCGAGTTTTTGATCTTTTAAAAAATTAAATCCCAAATATCTGACTATTAGAGAATATGCAAAGTTATATATACTAAATAACAGCACCTACAAGGGAGAATTTTTACATAGATATTATATTCCTTCTCTTCTCTTGTTTTCTCTTCCCTTTCTTTGTGTGAGGGTTTCCGAAGCAGGAACAGTGAATGTTACACGCTTGAGCTAGTTACTTTTTGCTCTCCACCCTTTCCCTTGTCACTAGGAAAGGAAGCTCTGTCTCTTTCTGTTGTTGTTAATCTTCACCTGAGAATATTTTTTCCATTGAGTTTTGTTTGTTTGTTTTTTATTTATTAATTTTTTTAGAGAGAGTGTAAGGGAGGGAGGAAGGGAGACAGGGAGAGGGAGATAGAGAGAGAGAGAGAGATCGAAGTGAGAGAAACACACTGATTTTTTGCCTCCCACATGCGCCTGGACCTGGGCTGGGGATCAAACCTGCAACCCAGGGAGGTGCCCTTGAGCAGGAATTGAACCCACGACGCTTTGGTGCACAGGTGGACACTCTAACCACTGAGCCATACTGGTCAGGGCAGGAAGCTCGATATTTATTAGTTATTAATAAAATAAAACTGCAAAAAAATATATCGACAGCTCAGCATATCCAATTTCTTAAGCAAAAGAGGCATAATAGGGTATTTTGCCGGCTATTGTTTACATCCACCAGCCTGAATCATACCTTAGCTCCATGTCACATCGTAGCTATGAGACATGACAATTACTATAGCAACAATGGGTATTTCTTGTGCCCTTACTCTATTTTAGGTTCTCAGCTGAGAAATGTACGCACATTATTTGATATTTACAACAGCATAAGAACAAAGCATAAAGCTTCCTTAAAGCAAAGATTAGGAGTGGATAAATGAAGAACTCTTTTTCATAGACAGCTGATAAGTAGAATCTACAAGCAGGATTAATTACAAAACAGCTTTACAAAGGCTGTTATGCAGGGGAGGGGTAAACGAGAGTGCAATGAGGTCTCACTTCGCATGAAAGAAGGCTCCCAAGCCTGGTCAAGGCTGCCTGAATTACTGTGCTCAGCCTGGGTTTAAACCTTAGGTCCCTAGGTTGTGCCAAGTTGCCCCTTTTAGAACAGCCAATCAATTTGACATTTTTCTTGTAGGTGCTATTGTTATTGTTGTATTCAGGAGTCTATCTAGAGAAATCACAAGCAAAATTAATGTTATGCTAAAACTCTGAAGAATTATTAGATTTATTTGTATTCTAATTTGTTAGAGGTGGACCCATTAGAATGTCTGCTAGTATATTTTGCATTTGAAATAACCAGCCGGTGAGTACGTGTGAACTACTGGAAAGTTCTTGGCCTATGGGATGATCTGCTCAGTGGATAAAATTGATATTCTTTCTATGGTTGCATATGACACAAAGACAATGAACAAGGTAGAATTTGCCTTTTCCTTCAAAGTGAGCTGTTAAGGAGGTACTAAGGGGTCAGAAAAAGATGAAGGTTCCTAACACTGTATTTTGGAGTGCTAGTAAGTTTCAAGTTTTCTATATTAAAAAATAAAACAAAGCACATAATTCTTTTCATTGTTTTCTCCACCTGGCATGCTGTGTAATTCCTCATCGCATAAGTGTTTGCTTTGTTTTCGCACAGATTCCATTTTCGCCCTCTCACGGTTGAGCTTTGCTACCCGCCTTCATCACTTCACATCGGAGAGGAGCTGCTTGTGGTGGTGGTGGGGCCTTTGGTGCTGAACGCAGTGATATTTCCTTTGCTTCTGATCAGATGGGGCTGTCGGCTGCTGTTTGCCTACTGCCCTGATGTCTTGTCAAAGTTAATCATTGCCATGGGACTGTGGACAGTTCTGGACCCCCTGGCAGTGTTTATAGTGGATACTGTCCTGGGGGTAAGTCAAGTAAAATAATTGGGATACAAGTACTTGACGTAGAATTTAGCTTTAACACATAGAATCAGTTCACATGGGAAGTTCCAATAATCATGCCCAATTCAATAGTTATCTTAAAGTGAAGTTTTTAGGTTTTTCTTCATCATAAAAATTACAGATGTCTAATATACTCAATTTAAGTGTAATTTTAACTATCTTAAATTCAAACTTGCTAAATAAGCAGGAAATAATGTTGGAGATTAAATCCAAGCTAGTTGGCACATTTTCAAAGAAGCTTTATTTTGTAATTTTTGTTGGTAACTATTTTTTAAATTATGCATTTCTATAATAAAATTTTGGAAAAAAGTAACCATACAGTAGTTCCTTTAATTGTTTAGGTTATTTGCTTTAGGACATTATACTTAGTCTTCTGTCATAAATATACTGGGGGAAAAAAAACTTTTAAAATATATCTTTATTGATTTCCGAGAGAGGAAGGGAGAGGGAGAGAGACAGATAGAAACATCAATGATGAGAGAGTCATTGATCGGCTGCCTCCTGCACGCCCCTGACGGGATTGAACCCGAAACCCAGGCATGTGCCCTGACCTGAAATTGAACTGCGATCTGGATCATAGGTTGATGCTCAACCACTGAGCCATGCCTGGCAGGGCAAAACAAAAACTTTTTAAACATTTCAAAGTAATAACAATTTTTAAAAATTACTCTATAGGCATTTATTTTGACTTTTGGATGCTTATGAAATGACAAAAACAATATTTTCACCCTGCAATATATAGTAGAAAGATTTCATGATTATGAGTGATGCACTAGAGTACATGAGGATGTATAAACAATGATAATACTGATTCTAATATTTGAAGAGCACTTTGCATTTTTCAAGCATCTTGACACAATTTGGTTATATAGTTACAATACCAGTGTAAGCTGGTGGGACAAGTAGTCTTCTGATTTTACAACTGAAGAACTTAGATACAAAGAACTGCATGATTTGTCCCAGCTACACAGCCAGCATCCACCACAACTAGGACTAGAACCCAGATTTGTGAGTTCTAAGGCTGGAGTTTTTTCCATTATACTAAAATCTCTATTTCAAAGTTTGTATCAATATATTGTTTTGTGAAATCAAATGTGTGCTACTCCTGATGATAATTATTTGATTACAACTAAGTATTTAATTTACTCAAGAATGTTGGGACTATAATTTGAGGCAAAATTGATGTAAATATTAATGTAAATTTACTGCCGCATCCAAATTTCCTGTTGCTTTGAATTTGCAAGGCCTAGGGTTTCCTGGTGAGTGTTGCTGGTTTGGTAGGTCTGAAGCAGGGCCCAAGAATTTGCATTCCTAACAGGTTCCCAGGTGACATGGATATTATTGTTGGTCCAGGGACCACAGCTTCCAGAACATCACAGGAAAGATCCGGCAATTACACTGGGAAGATTTAGGAATGTCAGCATAGCTTGGAAGGACAAAAGCTCCAGTAAAGCAAGGCCCAGTGGGGATACTTTGCTGTCCTGTGAACCACCACACAAGACCTGACATTTATTTACTTTATCTAGTTTCATTGAAGTTGGCAAAAGCTTTAGATCAGATTATCAAACCAAAAATTAAAAATGTTAAAAGATAATGAAAGAATTCAAACCAAAATAACACTTTTATTTGGAGTCATCAAATTTTCTGGCAATTTCAATAAGCAAAGAGAAAGAAAATCTGAATTTTAATTAAATTTTTGTACTGTAGACCTGGCTATGAAATACAGCTCCAAGCAAGAGACCAGATGGATACTATAAATAAATCAAAATGATCAAATATTCATTTATAAAATTATCTTAATTTATGCAATAATATTCCATAACTGGTATATTTCTCCTTTTAAGATGAAAAGGGGACGTTTTACAACTGATATATACAGGGTGTCCGAAAAAATGTGTACACACTGTAACAGTTGATTGCTCAATTTTGAAAGTGAAATGTATTTTAATAAACACTGCCTTTATGATTATTCAAAGTGTGTGCATACATTTTTGGGGACTATATATGTATAGAGAGATAGTATATATATACTGTATTCATTGTGATAAGCAGATCATAGTGATGGGGTGTTTTATGGACTGTGCTTGTTAACTATATTTCCAATGGATTCTACCATTAATAATATGCTTTTAGAACTGGAGACCAAATTGCTTCCAAACTGCATTTATGAAGATATTGTCCCGGGTGCTGTGGTAAGCAGCTAGGATGAGCAAAGCCTGTTGCTGTTTTTATTTCTATCTCTCCGGCCACAATGTTCTAGAGCAGTGCACCTCTAACTTTAATGGGCTTCAGTCACCTGGGAATGTTGTTAAAATGTAAATTCTGATTCAGCAGGTGGGACCTGAAGTTCTGTATTTAACAGACTCCTAAGTGATGTTAAAGATGCTGGTTCTATAGACCCGATCACACCACAGCCCACAGCCCACAGCCCACAGCCCACACAAAACGCTTTACTGAGAAGGCCTGTCTCTTCCCTTTGCTAATGGCTAGGCTGGACTTTCACTTGCTCAGGGTTTCTGGGCTGCTTTTTTTTTTTTTTTTTTTAATTCTCACCCTAGTATATTTTTTCCATTGATTTTCAGAGAGAGTGGAAGGCGGGGAGAGAGAGACATCAGTTGGTTGCCTCCCACATGCACCCAGACCCGGAGTCTGGAGATGGAGCCTGAAACCTAGGTGTGTGCCCCTGGCCAGAATCGAACCTGGGACCCTGCAGTCCATGGGCTGACGGTCTAACCACTGAGCCATACCGGCTAGGTCTGGGCTGCTCTTAAAGAGGCAGAAGTCCTTGATGCACTGATTCCATTAATGGTTTTTTTTAAGCTTTGTGGGAGAATTCTAACTGCTTATTCTGAGTGGATTGACCTCTGTTGGAAATGCTTAGAAACTGGAGAGAAATGAAATGACTGACTCTGCAACTATGTAGATCATTTAACATTGTTAAAGGGAATTAAATGCAGTGAACATCGGGACTACCAGTGTGTCTAATTTCTAGTTCCACTGCTAGGAAGTGGAGGGAAGCGACAAGGGAAGCTTATCAGTGCTTGGAAGCCCCCCTTGTTTTCATGCTCCAGCCTGCAAGCATTCACTGGAGCCCCGGTACCACTGAGCACCTTAGTGATAAGACAGAAGAGGGAGCCTTGTCAGCCAGAAGTGGCTGTGTTTTCTACCCCATCTCTAAATGTTTTCACCCTATAGATGAGCCTCATTTTGATTGAGAAGATTAAGCTGGAACCAACTGGATTCCCATTCCCACTTCTCTCAGTCTCCAGGTTAGGGAGAGGAGTCGTGCCGTCAAGGTCAGTGGAGCAGGAGAGGCACAGAGGAACGCCTGCCTCCTGGTGGGCTCCCGTCCCGTGGCGCCTCCCCAATCCTCGCAGAGGCCTGGTGTGCACCTGGAGCAGGCGGGGTGCTAGCCTGATTCTACCGCAGCCCCAGTGTAAAGCCATTCAGGGAGGGTGAGCGGGTGACCCTTAGGATCTTCTGTGATCCCCTCATAAGGAACGGCTTCCCTATCCCAATCAGGTTCCCTGAGAGATTAGTAGCCGAATGGTCCACTCTGTCAAAGGCAACTGGAAAAAATGAGCAGCACTAATTTCCTCTGGGGCCACTGATTCAGCATAAGGAAAGCAGCCTCCAGCATGGCCGTCTCAGAGCCAGTTCAGAGGCCTGTAGCTGATGGAAGCTGACTTGCATGCTGAGGGTTGAGTATAGCACACACATCTTTCTGTACTCGGAACAAAAAGCTGAAGGCTCCTTTCCAATCTGAACAATTACTGACTCTCCAGTTAGAACTCATTCTGTGTCATTGCAGATGACATCTACTTCTGCTGTCGTTAAAAACTTCTGAAGCGGCTTGTAATATACAGATCAGCAGCATTGGAGTCCACACTTAGACACTCCACCAGCTCATCAAAATGCGTATTTTAACCTGCTTCCCAGTAATTAACAGCACATTGAATTTTGAGATGTACTATTCTAAAGCGGTGGTTGGCAAAGTGGGCCTCCTGGACCAACAGCAGTAGTTTCACCTGAAACGTAATAGAAATGCAACATCTCAGGCCCTGAAGCAAATCTAGAGTCAAAAACTCTGAAGAGGGGGCCAGCCTCTGGGAGGGGCTCTGTGTTTCAAAAAGCAGACGATCACCTGTGTGTTTGATCCAGGTCAGCCAGTCAAAAGAAATACTACCTAATTTTATTGATAGTTTTTATTCTAAATTAATTTTTCTCATGGCATTCTAAAAGGAGATGTGGCAGGTGAAATTATTTGAAGTTGAAGCATTGAGTGGCTGTTGATGTTGCTAATAACACTTCACAGGTCCCTCAGTTGGCTGACTCAGAGGTTGGCAATGCATTCACCACCTCCCATTGATGATGCTATGCTCAACAATTCCATTGAGTCCATAACTTCCTTCTCTGCCTATACCCTACTGTAGATAAAAAGTAGAGGGAAAATTTTCTATTGAATGTTTTAATTGAGAAGCATGTATGTATTGACTATATGCTCCCTGCATAGGATTTTTTTAAAAGCTACAGAATAGCCCAGCCAGCGCGGCCCAGCGACTGAGCATCGACCTAGGATCCAGGAGATCACGGTTCAATTCCTGGTCAGGGCGCATGCCCGGTTTGCGGGCTCCATCCGCAGGGGTGGTGGTGCAGGAGGCAGCCGATCATTGACTCTCATCACTGATGTTTTTATCTCTCTCTCTCCCTCTTCCTTACTCTTTCTGAAATCAATAAGGATATATGTATTTTTAAAAACCTACTGAATAAATATGGCATTGCCCCTCCCTTCAATAAAGATAGAGAGATATTAATAACATGTAAGAACAAAGATGAAACAAAGGTAAAATGCAAGCATTTTCTTTCAACAGATAATTCTTGAGAATCCATTAGGAGTGATTGTGGAGTAATAGAAAGAGCAGAGACTAGAGTCAGGGGAACCGGGCTCTGGTCCCACTTCTGCCATTTGTCAGCTCTACACTGTTGGATGAGAGGAGTCCGTTTTCGTATATGAATCACACAAGTAATAGTACCTACAAATATTAACACCTACCTTACTCACTTCACTGTATGGTTGGAAGAATGTAATGAGAGAGCAACTGGGTATAACCTGAGGAATCTAAAGCACCATACATATGAAAGGAAGGGCACAGAGTAAGGATTACAGTGAAGTGATGCCTGATGCTTTGTAGATGATACAAGATGCAGTAGCCTTTACCCCACCCCTCCTATAATTTTTTCTGCTTTATATTTTTCTTCCTAATATTATCCTCTAATATACCTTGCATATTACGTAATCTTACTTATATACTTACTCCCAACACACACGCACACACAGTTAAATGCAAGCTCCAAAAAAGCTTTTGTCTAATTTTATTCACTATTTTATCTGTAGAGCTTAATGACACATGGTGAGCATTCAATACAATACAGGTGGGTCAAACGAATGATTAGCATCTATTGATTAGATTATGTTATTAGCATCAAACATTATATCATTTTTTTCTTTGTTTCATTGATGAATCCCATGCCTTTTTCTCTCCCTTAAAAAACAGCAGAAAGGTAAGATCTGGAATAGGAGAAATCCATGACAACCCTTGCAGGTCCACTGCCTAAAATTCTAGGAACAGACTCACATTTTGCCAGGTAGACCACTTAACAGGCGCAGATATCAAAAGAAAGTTTTGGTGAGGTGATGAAAAAGCAGTAGTTGAGAGTAGGAGCATCTAAATATTGGTCACTGCCCAATGAATAAAGGATGTTTTGGTGTAGGGAAAATACAAACTAACCTCTCTAGGCTTCTGTTTTAACCTTTTCCTATGTGATTTGTATTAGCTAGTCTTGAATGTGCCCTTTTAAGCTATATAATTATCAGTTTTTTTAAAAAGAAAATTATTTCTTCTCTCTTACATTGGAGAAAAAAGATCATACTTTACATTTATATTGCATATTATTTCCACTTGATATCATAAGAGTCATAATTAAATAATGTTCATGTTTTATAAAACTCAAAGGTTAAAGGTATCATACGACAATGCTTTAGTTTCATAGCATTTTATATATTTTTAAAGACCTCATGACCTTGAATTTATTTCAAACCCAACACAGAATACGTTTTTTCTTGCCTAAAATAAGAACTTATTGTTAAATTGACCTAATGTAAACTTTGATTTTCAAGCCCATAGTAAATAGCCTGTTAACATTTTTATAAGTTTCTAAAATAAGCCATCTATTTCAAGCATAGCAGAAATTAAACTCCTCTCAAATCTGCTACAGAAAGAGAGGAATCTTTCCATCACCGTGTTTAATTTCTTCATATCTCGTGTTCATTAAATTCAGAAGTTAATAGTACACAAACAAAAGGTGGCTTTCACTTCAGGAATTGCACACAGAATGCACATGTTTAAAAGCTTATAGGGAAGCCTGGCTGGCATGGCTCAATGGTTGAGCATCGACCTATCAACCAGGAGGTCACAGTTCAATTCCTGGTGAGGGCACATGCCCAAGTTTCCGGCTCAATCCCCAGTAGGGGGCGTGCAGGAGGTGGTGGATCCATGACTCTCATCATTGAAGTTTCTATCTCTCTCTCCCTCTCTCTCTTTGAAATCAATAAAAAACATTAAAAAAAATAAATAAAAGCTTATAGGGGCAAATGAGAAAAACTTAGTAAACCAACCATGCAAACCCAGTCTTTTCCTGTTCCTTTGTGGCAGCTGAAGTTCTGCCAACATGATCAAACAACATTTAATTTAAAACCAAATTATGGTATCACATGGTTTTTGTGTATTTAAATTAATCTAAAGTGATGATCAGTGTTTCTATCTTTCTTTTTTTCTAATTTATGTTTTCTTTTGTCAGCGGCTCACACCTACTGGGGAGACTCCTATGGCTGATGCGGCAAAGCTGTACTGGGCATTCATAAGAACCCAGCAATCAGGAATTCTTGGAGTAGTGCTCACAGCGCTAATTTACATTCTCCTGGTCGTCATTGCTTCTTTGATTTTGTATGTGTATTGTCTCAGGTAAGGGGCTTCAATATTTTTGTCCTGAGTGCCCAGCCTCCAGTCTTGTTGTGCGGTTAGGCTATGTATGAGAACATGGATACACTAGAGAACTTGGAACCATGTCTACATGGATGAGGTAGACATCTTCTTGGTTGTATGTAACAACTGTCATAAAGACCACCCAAGACATTTTTTGACTTTTGGATAAATGTTGTATTGATAATAGAGAAAGCTAATTTTGCCTTAAATTTGTTTGCTCTGTACTAATTTCTTCAAACCAGGGACTAACAGAAAATAAAGAGTAATCTCTTGAAATCCAACGACATTCTAGAACATATCTTGAGCAGCTTGTCTAAAGTTTTCTTTTTCTCCTTCCATCCCACTGTCTTCCCACTCTTCCCACCCCTGACAAAATCACCAGCAGAAGAATTATCCTTCAGTTTTGATCCTGAATATCATAGAGTTTAGCTGACCAGGTCGTTAATTTAGCAGGCAATGGACCTTCTGAAGAAAAGCAACAAATACAAGGCAGTATCAAAAAATGCCAGGAAGTCTTCCCACTCTGTTGATGGTTTCCTTGGCTGTGCAGACACGTTTTGCTTTGATATAGTCTCACTTGTCCAATTTGGTTTTGTTTTCTGTACTTTTTGTTATTTATTATATTTTTTATTTTTTGTGAATCCTCACAGGAGGATATTTTTTCATTGATTTTTAGAGAGAGTAGAAGGGAGGGAGGAGGGGGAGAGAGACAGACAGACAGGCAAACAGAGGGAGAAACATCGATGTGAGAGAGATACATTGATTGGTTGCCTCCCACATATGCCCCGACTGGGCCAGGGATCAAACCTGCAATCCAGGTACATGCCCTTGACCGGGAATTGAACCCGAGAACCCTTCTATGGGTGGGCAGACTCTAACCACTTAGCCACACTAGCCAGGGCTGTTTTCTGTACTTTTTAAAAGCCATTTTTATATCCATGACATAATTGCCAACACCAGTGTCATGAAGCTTTCGCCCTATGATTTCTTATAGAAATTTTAAAGTTTTAAGTCTTATGTCTAAGTCTTTAATCATTTCATATTGTACATATATGTGCATATATGAAAATTCTAAAAGAAAGAGGAATATTGAGACCACCTAAGCAGGGGAGGATGATCAAGTGCAAGGCCTCTGAAGACACAAAGTAGAGCACATGTGGACACAAACCTTGGATTTAGGGGAAGGGTTTTTTTTCTTGATGTGATAGGGAAAGAATAAGGGTGAATGAAAATGCATGGAGGTTCCTGGAGGGGTGCTGAGGGGCCCACGTATGATAGCCATTATTATATTCTATGTAACGGGCGGTGAATTCACTCCTCAATTCTTCCTTCAGTGGATGGAAGAGTTCCTTACATAGCTCTAGTAAAACTGTCTAATTCTTTGGGGAATGTATGTTGTTTTGGCACCGGCTTGCTTTATATTTTGACATGTCATGAGCACTGCATGTCACCATTCCAGAGCTCTTACTTTCTTAGAGAAGGGAAGGAAATCTTCTATGATCATTCAGTTTCATTTGACTACTAACTTTTTATATGGACCTAGGCGAAGATGTTCATTTGCTAGATTTCAGGCATTTTCTTGTGTATCATGGTAAAGATAACATATAAGTTTAGATCTTACAAGAAGCTCTACATGAATCATTATTATTTTAAATGACTAAGATTTCCTAGGGAAGTTAAAGAAATAAAATAGTATATCATGTAGTTTAGAATTTTGTAGGGTTAAAAAATTATCAGATATTGTGTATCATTTATTTCCATATCAATACATCTCTTTTCATTTAAATTAAGGTGAATGCTTACAACCATGATTTTCTTTGTTCAGGGTCTACATTTTTATCATCAAGATAACTTGTGAAGTATGAAAAAGTAAAGTCAGAATGTATGTGTTAAAAAACTAGAGTTTAACCTTTTGCTACCTAAAACAAATAGTTGTGTCTTAAAAATAAAGCAGAAACATTGCCTTATGGGGAAATGTGGGCAAGAGAAGTGGGAAGCTTTATAATGGATTGAGCTCTTATTAAGGGAAAAGCAAAGTTAGACAGAGTTTCTGGACATCATAGAAAATGAACCTGAAAAAATCCAGGGTAAGTAAGTAAGTTTTGTTCAATCAACCTAGCACCTAACTGTCTTCCATGCTTAACCTATCCTCTTCAGAACTAGGCATGCTCAGTAATCAAAAGAGGGTCGTGCTGGTATTTTAGAAGCCGATGCTCTTAAGAGTCTTTTGGATAACAACAGTGATCTCCCACAGAGAAAACACCTGTATTTTCCATATGAATAAATAAAGTCATTCCCATACATCCACTGAAAAATCTCTCTTTACTGATGTTTGCAAATGATCTTTTTCTAAAATAGTAGAGTGCTCAGTTCTTCCATGAAGTACACGGTGTCATTGGATGCATCTGGTCAATGAAGTGAGGTTTTGCTCTGGCATAAAAATAGGCAGGGGCTTGGAAATCATAAGAGCTTAGTGATAAAGGTCAATGCGGATTTGTGCATGTGGACTGATTTAGGTTAGCACTCTCAATCCAAATGTTAAAGCAACAATCCTAACTCTTTCTGGGCTCTTGGATCAGTGCTGTCAAAACATGTGCTAGCATTATAGGAGTGCAGAGGAGATGAAGTCTCTTGTTCAGGCTGTTGCTGGAGGATTTTATCTAGCTCTGGGCACTAGAAGCTCCGCATTATGGGGGCTGGCTGTGCAAACTTCATCTTGGACACTATTGAGTTTGGCTGGTTGCATCTCACTCCTCCAAGAACTTGAATAATTTCTTGGCGGAAGGTTTCTACTGGAAAAATTCTCACTCCCATAGCTGTAGTAGGAGAGTTGACTGGCATGCCGGGTCCTTGCCTCTGTGCAAGGAAGTTCTTGAGCTGGATGTAATTATTTGGACTGGATTTTACGGCTTTTAAGGAAGCATCTATCTTTTTAATGATTTTCCTGACTATAGGAAAAATATTTGTTGTTTAGAAAAACATAAAAATATAAAAAAGAGTCAAAAAGTAAAGTAAAAACCACCAATAATCTCACCATCTAGACAAAACATTGTTAATCTTTTTGGTAAAGTTGTTTTATCGTTTTTCCCATGTATATTTATTTTTACAAAGTTGAAATTATACTGTAAGTATAACTATATCTGTTGATTTTAAACTTAATATTATGTGATAAATATTTTCATACTCTTTACTTACTTCATGAACATTTAATGCCTACATACTATTTTATACAATATAAGCAGCATAAATATTTAAATATTTCTTTAGTCTTGGACAATAGATTGTTTTTCATTTTTGTGCATCTTATAAATAATTCTGATGAACATCTTAAGACTCAGGGGTTTGTTCACATTTTAAATGAATCTTTGAATAGTGTCCTAGACACCCAGGAATACTGGTTTAGAGAGTATGAGATTTCTAAGACACCAGATAACTGCTGCACATTGTTTTCTAGAGAAGTTGTATGGACTCGCACTTCCACAACAATGCATGGGGAGCTTACCTAACCACGCTCACATCGTGTGTTAACCTCTACGGTCCAATATGATGAATCTCATCTTTCTCTAACTGTGTATTTCTTGGTTTACTGGTCATTAAACATTCTTAATATGTTTGTCATTCATTTGTATTTCTCCTTTGTGAATTACCCTATAAGTGTCCTTTTGCCTTTCTTTCTATAAAATTCAAATGCTTTTCCTACTAAGTTATAGGATTTATATACATATATATATTAACCTGTCATATTTTAAAGGTATTTACTCCATTTGACAATTGCATTTTAAATATATTTTTGATTTTCAAAATAGATATTTATAATTCATATACAGTAAAGTATTTTGGTTATTTTTATGATGTTTAAATATCTCTTAAATTAAAAAATCTTTCCTCATTCAGAAATTTTACAACTATTTACTTTTATTTTTATAAACTTCCAAGTTTTTTCATTGAACTCCTTCTATGTAGAATTTATTTGATGTGGACAGTGTCAAGATCTACAAGAGAAAAATGAGAAATCCTTTTATTTATTTATTTTCTAACCCTCACCCAAGGATATGTTTATTGCTTTTCTTTTTTTTGAGAGAGAGAGTGAGCAAAAGAAACATCCATCAGTTGCCTCTCGTACGCGCCCCAAGTGGGGACCAAACCCACAACCTAAGTATGTGCCCCGATCAGGAATGGGATCTGCGACCTTTTGGTGCTTAGGGTGATGGCCTAGCTGACTGAGCCACACCTGCCAGGGCACAAATCCTCACTAGTCTGTTCTTTAAATTGGTACTACCTTTAGATATTAGTTGTTTTGTCATTTTGTCTTACTGGGTTTTATTTTAAGTAATTTTAACTCATCAGCTATGTTTCCAGTGTGACTGACAGAGCTTCTCTTTTCTGGAGCTTCTTTAAAAAATTCACCTTTCTATCAAACTTTTGGAGATGGCCAGGTATAGGCATTGGCATTAGGAGAAACTGTGAGGACTACCTGTGCCTCTCAAGGTGTTTGCTTCATATTTGGACTTGCAGTGTTCCTCGGAACCCTTCTGAGTAAAGCTTTTGTTGCTGTTATAGGGAACCTTTAACTTTTTTTTGCATGTAAAATGTATATTTTTTTACTGTTGACAGTATTACATGTGTTTCCTATTTGCCCCCTTTGCCCCTCTTCCCCCTTAGGTCCTTTAACTCTTAATCCTTTATCCAAATAGTCCAAAAGATCTACAGACTCTTACATATTTCTCTATAATACGCAGAGAGTGAAAATTCACTATTCACATGTCTGATTTGTTTGAGCTTTTTGGTTCCTGGAAGGTGTATACAAGTCTGAAAGACTGGTACTTGAGTTAATTAGTTGTGGGGGTCTGATGCCTTCTTAATCATTGACTTAATAGTTTCAAATAGCCTTATAAGTTTTAGCCGCTGTCATTTATTACTTAGAAAAATTAATTTAGATTAAAATAATTTAAAGGCAGGTTTTGATGAGAATGTTATGA